TATAACTCAGGAAAAAACCCAACTAAACACGAAATGGAAATGAAATAGCATTATGTTATTCATATCATTAATGAATGTTCACTTAAGTGAAAGAAAAAGGAGTTTCTTTTCAGAATTAAATTGAAATTTACGACGTTTGGGGCAGATCATTAGTTAAACATTTATCATCATTAATACGCAAATGCTTTTAAGCTTTTATTACCAGAAACAACGGAAAAGATAGTTAGGAGCCCTATTTAATTTTGCTTCTATGTATTCTGAAGGTCCATTACAATCCGCCCACAACGATATGGTGTTTAGGGTAAATATTAACTTTTATTACAAGTGTTACCTACTCTTGACTTGCTAAACACTATTTAACTTTTTACAAGGCAACACAATAGCTTTTATTTCTTCTTATTTACAAGATCAATCGTGCTTAAACTTCTCTCTAACCGCTGTCGAAGCTTCAGTCAACAGCTTGTTTTACTCATTCAATTATTTTAGTAATAAACTTAATAAATCTAGTTTTGTGGCTAAACTTGTTACAACAGGTACAATGGAGCCGACGACTACTACAATGATAAATGTACCAGGAGTACAGTTTATAGGAGGAACCATTAATAACAGAGAAAGCAGCTATAATGCAGGATTTAATCATTTATCTGGTCTTAATGTTTTGAAATGTTGTATATAATTTTGTCGTATAAGTTTATTATAATATTGTCTCTATTCAACGTTTTCACTTACCCCTCATACGCTATGTATTAAAAATTTAGGACATCTTGAATAAGTAAAAAAAACCTCCTAATTTAGTCCAAATAAAATCTTGGTAATTCAAAGCTTTAATGCTCCTGTTGCTTTCCTTTAGTTTAATGTGAAAATCCTAATGCAAATCCATGATACCATTATCTCACAGAAAACCATAGCGCAGTGTTTCACCGCGTTAGTGTGGTTACCGGAGATCCAACTCTTCTTCCTCTCACCCAATTCCTAAATCTTCGAAACCCTTAGTGTTGCCACAAGCGTGTGTTCATTTGCCATCCTATCACAAAAAAAATAAGAATGAGTACGGTATTTTTTCCACCGTTTGTATAACTACTTGACTGTGACTAACGGCACTTCATTTCTGCTGAGTCGTCAAGGCCTAATGTTGACTCAGTTTCTGAATAGTTCAAGATCGGGGAAAACTCGAGAAGAATCGATACTTCAAGTTCATTAATAAGCGTCATTCAGTCTTTCTGAAAAAAAAAACACGTTTTTCTGCTTAATGGACTATGCTGTTCTTAAAATTTTTGCTAATTCTTTTATTTATCTCCTTTCATATTCGAAATGACACTAAACACAATCTTACAGGAATTTACACATAAGGCTATGTTGAATACATATAATTATAACATTGTCTTTTTATTCAATTATTATTTTTCAGAAAAATTATAGTTGTTTCAAAATAGACATGACTGATTCTATCTCAAAGGATGTTCTCCTATACTTTCAAACGATTACCATCTACTTACAGTAATAATTAGTCTACGGATTTGTTAGTGGCAATCATCTCCTTACTACTTTTTCTTACTAGATACCTATACATATAGAGAAGTGTAATATTTACAAAGCACAAACACCGGTCATTCACCCGCATGATCAGCAGTTTTTTGTTGTTCTGTAATTACGTTAAATAATATGTGTTTGCTGATTGAGAAATTTGATTTTTATAAATTGATTGGTATTCCCGATCCAATCTCTTTATTGGAGCTTTTATAAATTATTTTGCAATTGTGAACTTTTACTTTGCAGTGTAGAGGTTGTATTTACCTTGTCTATTAAAGAAATTGATTTATTATACAGAGCAATAATAAAAATAGTACTTAAATTTAATCTCTATCATTTAAGCACATTCAATAGAAATTCTTCTTTTAGTATACGTAATTTGAACAGCTATATTCGCTACCTACAAATTTAAGTTTAGGACCACACCTAAGATACAAATGCGTGGGATCACGCCCATAGCATCATAATTGAGAACACACTGTCTATGCTAATACGAGCAACAGAATACAAACAAAACTGTACAGTGCAGCCAAGTCAAAACAACCACTACGTCTTTGAAATAAGGTGCTGATTGAAGATGTTGATAATTTTGCGGGAGTTGAAGTAGTGAATCATGGGAGATGAGTCTCATTCAACGTGATAGGCAATGTTGCAGTAATGAAACGGGTAATAGAGGCTGTTTGACGTATATGGGCGTATTCCATAAATGCTGGTAACTTTATTGATGCAGTCGTTTGTAATTATTGGGTTTTCGCAAATTATGGCTGTGGTTTTCTAAAGGACCACACATAGAGACAAAATAATCGGTTTTAATGAAAAATATAAATTATTTCAGTGCAACAACAATATATATAATGACTTTATTTTCTGAAGCTATCAGACAAATATGTGATAGTAGAATGAAGTTGGAGTAGCAAACCTTTGGTTGAATATAATTTTGTTCGATATGACAATCAAACATGAACTTGTAGTAGTTGACCACGCCGAAACATCTAAAACAATTACATCAGGTGACAAAAAACTTTAGAGAAAGCAATTCGGCTCAAAAGACCACACACGGTCCTTAGTCCTAATCAACAAGCATCAACAAAGGCCATTTAAAAACCAACTCAGTATTCAGTAACTCGCTTCAAGTGTTCGATGTAAGATAAGATGCTCAAAATTTCTGATCAGGTTTGTGTCAAGTCTTCTTGGCACGTGCTAAGGCTTTCGATAAAGGTGGACCGTTTATAAATCGAATGACGTAAATGGTTTAGTAATGTTGTTATAGTTTCGACACTAAGTTTAAGGTGATTGAGTAAAGAATATTGGATTTGGTTTGTTCTTGAAATTGGATGGGATATTCATATTCATGTTCATTCGAAAATAAATGTTGATATCATCATCATATAGGTTGTTTTCATCTTTATTTGTGAGTGTGGGAGTTGTGTTAAATCTTCGTCTTTGTAACGACTTCATTTTGTGTACGGTGTATATTATTATTGCTGTAAGTTATTCTACAATTATGGAGACCATGTGACTGTACCTTAAGAAAACATCAAGTTTTTTTCCTTTCTTTCTAGTCTTTTTGTTCTATAGATTTTCAATACAAAAGTTATTTTCCTCGCTAATAGAAACGCGCTCATAAAACAAAACCATAAAATAACAGAACGACAGTTTTCCAACTCTCAAATTTGAAACTTTGTACCATCTGAAAGATATATCATGCAGACTAGAGCAACCCAATTTAGTTCAGTTTAGTTTGGCCATTACCAATTAGCACCCAGACCCTACACTAAAATAGCTTGTCCTTTACCCGCGTAATGAGCAGACTTTAATTTTACCCATACAGGGTTACCCTAGAGGCCTGGGCAGGCTTGATGATTTATTTTTTGTAATAAAATAAAAGCACTTTTTTTTCGTGTTTGCACGGTATCAACAACATACTAGATAGATTGATTTTACTCTAAATCATGTCATTTAAGAAGTTTTATAGTCTGTAGATGAAAAAAAAAATGTGTCTATACGTGTAGTTGTTTATTTTTTATAGTCTGCCCTCACCATATTCCATCCTTGCATAGAGACTAGCAGAAGCTTTTGTTTGAGTTTCAAGTCCCCTTGAAAAAGTAGCCGACGGTCTATATGATAATGAGAAAATTTCATCGCAGGCCATTTAAGGAAAGTTGCACAATCTCTTATAATTTTATTTTGATTTAGACACTTATCAAATCTGCCCCCGTTAGGGTGCCACCCACATTAAATTATTTCTCTATTTTTCGAATTGGAGTAACATAAATTCTGTCGATAAGGAAATATTCTGCATTCGTGAACAAAAGTACTACTACATTTCCATTTTTATTAAAATAATAAAAGGGTTTTTACGACTGACGACGGAACAGCATTTCTTCAGATTTATGAGTACGCAGAGCTGATCGAAAGTTCGCAAACTCATCGGTATGAAACATTGGTTGTAAATAATATCATCATAAATGTCAAGTTTCAACGAGATTGTTCAGAGATAATGGTATGGCGAAAATAGATAACCAGTAAATCAATGCTATTATTCTGTACATCATCAAATCTCTTTTCGACGTGAAGACCATTAAATTAAGAGTGCAGTTTTTTACCAGTCACTTCTAAGATAGCGATTATAAAAAAGTTCGTTTACTAGAAATCACTTAACACTTAAGCATACTTGTCTGTTTTCTTAAGTACCTCTAATAGTCCTCAACGAGTATTGAATTCACTTCAAAGAGAAGGAATGTCTTTATCAGATCAGATGGGACCGACAGATAATATCGGATCAGGTGTATAACCAGCTGTAAGTTGATATATTGGTATTTGGAGTTCGAATTAACTATACGTTTGTCCTTGAAGTTGTAGTCTTGTACTTATGGCTTGGATTCAGAAGACCTGTTTATTAATCGGGAAAAAATGCTTTGAAGATGGAAGACAACTATGGTGGATCCCTAAGAGATCTGGTACCATCTATGCACAAGATTCAAGGATATATCGACATCCTCAGCACTGTTGTTTTGGATTAAACTCCAAGACTATGCATTCTGTTCTCCCTTTTAGGTAAAACATGCGTTAGATACCATTAAATATTATTTATTAGACCAGTATCAGCCCTGTTACTGAGTATACCGTTACGGACGTATAAGCCAATATCTTGGAAACTGGTTCATTGCTAGCCGATCCTTGTTGGGATACAGAATCCATCACGATTGAATACAATGTGCTGTTATAACATAGGCGTAATGTATACGCGGATGGATATTTTTATGGGAATTTGCGATATTGGAAATAGATAGGCTGACTTTTATGATCCTGCAGTATGGTTGTCTATAAATGTGCTCATTTGGAAACTGAACATCTTTCGCGGCAATGAATACAAAAGTAGATTCTATAAAAGGATCTTTAACTGCATAAACTAGCATAAAATATATTAATACTACGTATAAATAAAGTAAATGTATTATTTGTTCCAGGCGTCTATGGACCTTCCTCCGGACAAAGCAAAACTCTTGCGCAACTATGACCTGGAAAAGAAATGGGAGATCATCTGCGACCAGGACATGGTGCAAGCGAAGGACTCGCCGGCGCACTACCTCAACAAACTCAGAACGTACCTCGACCCCAAAGCTTCCAGGAGTCACAGGGTACGTATAATTGACCTTACTATAATACAGGCGATACACGAGCTACTTCTGATTTGGTTTAAGCCGTTGATGCTATTTTAGGCAAGTAGTTTTATAATAATTGCACACTACATTTAGGTGCATGTTTTCACAAGAAGTGATCCTTTACCAATTTTTGTTGGTGAAAAGGAAAAATTTAAAAATATCTGTCAATTTCTGTCATTTTCAATTAGTAACACTTATTGATGCCTCTGGTGTTGATGAACAAGTGCGTAAAACATTCACGGAGCCTCGTCGTCGTCGCTCCCAAGTTGTAAAAAATATTCTGATTCAGTGATGTAAAAATTCTGTAGCGTGACAGTTACTGCAAGCGAGTAAATGATAATGTCGCGAAAACACAACATTGTCCCTTTTTAGCTTTCGCCGTCAAAGGATACTATAGAAATGTTAACAAAGTTGCGCCAAGCTCCGTATTGGGCGATACCGTTACACATTGTAAACAATGAGCGGGCATTAGTGAACGATAGTGATCTGTGGCCCCCGGCAATTTGTGGATACGACACCATTGTGCACTGAAACACCAACGTCGGAAAAGACTTTGTTTTCTTGTAACAACACTGTTAAAACCTCTTTTGTCTGAGACACCTTCGAACCCGTTCATATGTCTGTCAGTTCTTGTTATTTTTTGGCAATATTTAGCGATTGACACTCTCGCCAACAGTTCTTATTACTTTATGTCTTCTTTATAGAAAAAAATCACACTGAAACGTGTGAGTGTTGTTACCAAAGACTACTCATCTCCAATCCGTCATAACCGGCCGGCTGGCCGGTAACGCACTCGTACATCTTTTGGTGGTTTGGTTGCTTATCAGTAAATGATCCATTTATGCATTTGGCGAACAATTCTTACGTGAAAAAACTCTTGCGTAGTACTGTAAATTTTTACTAAAACTAAATTGTACTCTCCCAACAAGAGATAAGCAGATTACAGATATTTCGTTGCTGAGTTATTTATACTTACCAATGTTCCCCATAACATTAAAACCTCATGCTCTATACAACACAAACATAGAAAGCCCTCTAGCTCCCAGTCCCGTTATGTCGCACACAATGACCAATACATCACGTTTTATCGATAGGGATCGCTGGCCAGCCTCAATTTGTGGGCAATCCCAAGCTTCTGTACAACTGGTCGTTACAAGTAATGTGTTAAAGCCTTCTAGGTTTCTTTAATGGGTTTGCCTGGGAATCTTAGAAAAAGTCTACTTGTTCCTATTAAGCATTCCCTTCACAACTCTATTGGCTTTTAGATCGCGAGTTATTGATGTCGTGTAACTCTCCAGGCTGGACGCCATAGCTGTTTGATTCACTTATCAGTTCGGTGCAATCTTATGTTTATATCGAACTTAGAAAAGATGGTACCTTTGATTCTTATATGTTGGTGAAGTTTTCTTGCAGACATAAAAACTTTGTTTATTAACATTCAGCTTGTTGAATTTCCTTAATGTATTAGGATGTAACATACACAATAAAGTTATCACCTCAAAAAAAACCTCTTTAACTACTCGTAAAAGGAAACTGTATGAATTTGGTGATTTCAATATGTATTGTTATAATGATTGAATCTATGAAACTCTCCAGCAATGGCACTTTATGACCTCCGGATTTGGAGCAAACAAACAAACCGACTCATCTACTAGGAAATCGTAATAGCGTTGTAGATTTTATGGGCACGCGCCTTCATTATCATTTTTAGAGTTTTGTTTGTGAATAGCGGATAATATTTTTTGTTTTGCTATGAACGAAAATTTCTTCAGATCTGTGTAGCATTTGCATTCTGTTTGTCTTTTTCGTATTGTGAGATGGTAAACGCGCTATGCTAGTAAGAATACTATTTAGGAGACGTATTTTCTTCTTTGATCAAGTGTGATCTCCCTTAAACAAGAACTGTATAGTCCAAACCATTAAATTTACAATAATAAACAAAAAATATAACGAAGTAGCATATTTTTGCGCAGGTCAAGCAAGAGAAAGTACCACAAGTAAAATTACGTTATGTTACATTGTTAATTTATCTGTAATCATAAATAAAACATAGTTAGCCCATTCTAGTATGATAGAATGACCCATCTGTTCATTGATACTTTGCTTTTTTATATGTTTATAAGTTGCTAAATAAATGCACCATGGTAAACATTTAGCTCAAGGCTAGCGAATGCAATAGCGCGGATAATTATAAGTAAGCTGTTTGCCCACAATAATCATTCTTTTCCTACCGATTATCTTGGATTGAGGACTATCACGCTATATTTTTCTGCTAGGGACGCTAGTGAAGTTATGGTATATTTATCCCTTAAGAATTAGCTAGTTCCAAGCTTCTCATCCATGAAGGTGAGTGTTCAAAATCTGGCAATGACTAATGTGTTTTTTTAGAGTTATAAGAATTTTCTATTTAGATACAACTGATATACTCACCGTATATACATAGAGGGAAACGTCATGTGGAAATCTGGATTTATTTATAGTTAAAAGTTTGAATCGCTAATCCCCTCGGGTAAGCATGGGAAAAAATGCTCAAACTTCAGTCAGAGAAGAGGCCAGTGCTCAACAGTCACACTTTCAGGGTATTGCTTTTCGATTTATGACAGTTCCAGTGATTGGACAAACGCTACATTAGCGCTACGAAGGAGTGACGAGGTGTTTTAGAGATTAGGGATTTGGAGATTTAGGGATTGAGGAAAGATTAGGGGAGGGGAAGGATCGGGCCTCCGGTAACCTCAGTCACACGGCGAAACGCAACGCCGCAATTATTTCACGCCGATTTTCTGCGAGGTCGTGGTATCACTCTGGTCGAGCCGACCCATTCGTGCCGAAGCATGGCTCTCCCACTGACTCTTAATCAAAAAATGGGACGGTTAGATTTATTTAATGAAACCACTTCGCCTTTTTTTATCATAATATATGTATAAAGAATTCCATGTTGATTGTAGCATGCGTTATATCGCTCTTAGTCTTTAAAACAATTATGAAGACAATAAAATTGTATAAAATACCGGCTAGTATAATCTAGACATCTTCATCATTATAATTTTATGATACCTACCGTTGTAGGTAGTCTTAGACTGTCTTATTGTTTGAGTGATATAAGAAAATATGGGTTTCATTCCTCCGGATACCTTGGCAATAGGCTTGACTTCCATCAAGTGAGGGGGAAGTATCATTGAATCACTTCTCTTGCCCCAGGCAGGATGAGAGGGAGTGTCAGACTCTTACTGACTAAACACCTCCATGCTCCTTCTCCTTTTTTTGGGCCTGGGCTGCGGTACATTATTGCACACTCCGGTTCAAATTATATTTAAACAATAATTGGCGAAAGAATATATGTAAGCACTTCTGTGAAACTCACTTTTGTTCTTAAAATATCATTTTTCAAGAATGTTATTTTTAGTGTATCGACTTGTAATACGTATGTTGGTAAAGCTCAGTGTAAACACCTGTGCTGTTGTTTGGCAGCTTTTACGTAAACGCAGAGTCGCACGCGCAGGTGCTACAGAGATTGTATGTAGATACGGTGTATGATGGTTTCTGAAGTACCCATGACGAACTATAGACGATTATTGTAAGAATAATATAAAGTATGTAAAGGATTTTTTATACGATATGCATGTTTTAGTTTTGAAAGTTGTAATTCTAAAACCTGCAACCACAGTGGTTGAAGACAACCACTCCCTCTTGTTGATTGGTTGATTGATAGAGAATACCATCTGGTATATAAGTTTCACTAATATATGTCTGTACATGAAGTTTAACCTTTAAATTATGATAATCCGAGACACAATTAAAGCGCGAACGCCGGCGTTCGCTTGAGGTTCGATGAATTCTATAAAACAAAAAATACATATATCTCATATGATCTTAGAACAGTAGAACAAACTAAATCAAACCAAGATTTCTGCTTCCGAGTGACACATATACCTAAAGATATGGTTAATTGAGCTTAGAGGCTATCCTTTCAACTAATCCCGTCCATGTAACGTCCATTACCGCGCATTAAATCTACACGGTACTCCCATTTTCCTATGACGACATAAAAGCAACAGGCGACTCTAAGGCGCTCCTCATGTAGCTGAATGTATTTGCCCAAAAACCTTTCACGTGTTGTTTTCGAAATTTCTTTGTACTTAGTTAATATTGTTTTATGGTTTAAGTAAAGATTTTTTCAGTAACTCATGATTAGGTCGTTTAGGTGCTTTGATAGGAAAAGTCTACACAATACATTTTAATTAGTACTTATACCGTTTGATACAAAAAAAAACCATGGCGTTACCAGATCCATTTCAGTGCAAAATTCAGTGTGTATACAAACACACAACAAACTGCCTGTTTAAAAAAATATCTACTTAGTTACCTATCAAGTATTGAATTGAGAGTCTATCACACAAGTCCTGCCTCTCGATAACGCAATGTATAATAGTAATTTTATTCGATTTCTAAATATTTGTTCAGTAACATTTATGGGATTAGAAACTGAATTTGAAATAATTATAGATACCCAAATACGAAAAAAAAATTGCTGGTCCACACCATGCGACGGCCCACTTTGGGATTATCAACCCCTTTTACAACAGAGTTCTTGCTATTATCCACAACTAGCCAACGGCTCAAAATCATAATTAGTTGTCTATGATAATAATAAACTTAAAAAACCTAAAGTTATCGACGACGATTTAAGAATCGCTTTGGCATACAAACATATAAAATATCTGTATGTAAGATGATACTCGTGATCCGAGTTCAACAGTGTCATTGTAAGTACTGACGGCGATGAATAAGTGAACCAGGGCGAGCCCTTATGTGAATGCATGTAGCACCAAATGTTGCAATCGGAAGAGATCTTTGGCCATATGTCGCAAGTTGGTTGGTGAAAGAAACACACACCTTATGATGTACATTCATATGCAACAAGAAAAACGATTTCACCGAACTATCAAATTTCTTGACACTCAAAAATATATTTAAGCTGTCGACATTCATCATAAAGCTACGGTAGAAAATACCTGAGTATATTATTACTTTTACCAAAAAATATATCAAGGTAGAATATCCTGAATATAGGGAAGCTCTAAAGAAACTATGTTTATTCTCCTTAACAAAGGCAGGACTTCCTAAACTCGTAACAGCTCCCAAAAGAGACATTTATTCCAAAACAAACGCCACAAATTCTCAACGAGAGCTAACTGGCAATTAAGCTAGCGTGGAACTAAGAGAGCTAACAGTAAATCCCGATGAGAACAAAACCCGAGGCCCCATACGAGACGAGATGCCTCTTGACCTCGGCACGAGATCACGGCACAGACACATGTTAGGTTATCACGTGGATACTAAGGAACTGACGGTTTCCTGGAGACTAATGCAGTATTACAAGGTTAAAGTGGTTAACTGATTTGGATGTACGGAACTGCAAGATGTTGGAACGTATATTGGTTGGTAAACGCGCCTGTAGATGCTAAATAAAATTTCTCCTAGACACCTACAGCAAAATCAGTGTCTAATTGCCCTAAAAATTTAAAAACACAAAGCATATGTTTATATTTTTTTTCGAAATATTTTGGAAGATTGGTAGGTAACTCTGTCATTAGGATCACTAGAACGATGTGATAATCCCTGACCTTTGTTTAATTTTAATTATTGAGGTCGCACGACTATCATGTCGCTTTGCCCAAAAACGTCTTCTCTCAAATAGTAATCATATGTGACTCACATGCTTATATAGTGCTTGTCGCACGTTCCTGATCGGGGTTTGATGAACCGTAATGTATAAAATTGAGGAAAAATGTTCTTTGTTTTTTCCTAATGAAGTTTATACATCCGAAAAGGTCATCTTTTAGATTGTTTTCAAAAAGTCAAAGTCAAAAATCATTTATTCCAATTAGACCTTTACAGGCACTTTTGAACGTCAAACAAAATTTAAAATAAAAAATAGTGTCAGTCTGTCGGTCAGTCCTCTTAGTGAAGCTATTTGCTCGTTCCAAAGTGTAGATTCCGATGGAGAAGAACGAGCAAGAAACTCCATGGTTACTCTTTTTAAATCAGTTTCACATACAGATTCCTTTTACAAACAGTTGGTTCAATTATGTGAGAACAGTGTAACACTAATATTTATTCAAATATAAAAATAAAGTAACCTTAAGGCCAATAGACAGTCTGGAGCTGACCAGTCCCAACTTACGGCGCTCGTTCACGAGCATGACACGTACACCAGCATCGCCCATCTCAACCATATTATATATAGGGAATTAAGCGATCCAGTGCCCATGCCACCGCCAGTGTGACCTTTCAGTGAGCATGACAACTCCAAGCTGTTATAAGGACCGACATTCTGCTAGTCTAACCAATTATAATAGGTTACAGGGCACTCACATTTACAATTTTTTTTTATCCCCTGTTGGCCAGCGACAGTATTTTAACTCAACTACTTAGCAGTTAAAACACTTTTGAAATCGCGTTTACTCCTTGATTGTGCCATACCATCAATGGTAGTACACGCAAACACACTCTAGATGAATACCAGCGCAGTGTATACTGACTTAAATTGTCTTATCTATCCGAGATATACCTGAACTTTCGCCTAATATGTAGCAGTTCTGTTTTCGGTTCGAGGGTCATTTAATATCTGGATAAACCAATTAAGGTTGGAGGTTTTTTGAACTCGTGTTTGAAAAGATTGGTTATACATAGGAGGTTAATTCAGAGAAACTATCACGTTTTTTGTTAATTCCTGGGATGTTTTATATTCAATAGCATAGGTAGTCTTCTTTTCATTAGCTCGTTTTTATTTTTTAAATCAAAGTTTAATCGTCTATTACTGGACCATTATATGCTATTTTGAACGTTAAACAAATATTTAAAGGTAAACAGTGTCAGTCTATCGGTCAGTTCTAATTAGAAAACGATTAAAGTAAGTCAATTGATAACTCGTCATACTTTACTTGCCGTAAAGTTATTGTCTGAATTTCGCTTAAACACATTAATTCAATGAACCGAGGCAATAATACATCCTTGCCTATAGCCGTTGTCACAATTTCTGTCGTTTCCTCGTAAAGTCTGCAATAAATGTTCATACTGCGAACGATGGCTTCCTAAATAAGAATTCAAATAGCTACTTACGTGTGTCTGACCTTTTCTTGATCCACATCATGTAGTCGTAGCTCGTGCAGTCGTGATCGCCACATACAAACATATCTTCCAGTCAGGTCTCGAAGGGTGCACGGGGAGGAGTCCGCAACTTTCTCCTACGTTTAGCATTGTAAACTTCGTGATTAGCTGGCGGCGTTTATCTGCTAATTCTATTTGAGCTTCGTTTATTAAATCCTATCTACTAACGCAAGCTCAATTCTTGTTCCACAAACCGAATTGTTCCAGAAACTATTGATCTAATCTATTAGTACATTGTATCGACTAGAAGAGGAAAAGTTAATGTTATAAATTTTGTATTTTCAGAAACGAAAAATGGTCGGCGACTCAACTTCGACGCAAGTCCTCAGGGATTTGGAGATTTCATTACGAACAAACCACATAGAGTGAGTATTTAAATTGTAATCAACCTCAGGAAAGCATCGTAATTAGTTGATGATGTTGATTACCTTTATGGAACTATATATGACATTAAAAATTTATGAAGTTATTCCTTTGGGCATAGTAAGAAGTAATCACCGAACCGGTAGTGCACAATACTCAGAGTTTCTGGCACAAAATATCTACTTTATGTTGTCCCATAACTGTTTGGACGACAGCCAGAAAATTATGTACCGTTTAAGGATAGCACGCGTATTCCTTCCTGACAGCCGGGTGAAATGTAACACACTGTTGTCGTAAATATTGTTCACAATTTATGTTTTGTCGAACGAGCCGTACGGATTAGACTAAATATTCACCTTTGTCGCGTTCGCTAGACATTACTTTAGTTTTTTTATGGGATATGACAGCTAAAGAACAAATGGATCTCAGATCACTAGGTCGTAAGCAATCAGCGCCACCAATGGAGACTGGCTAAAGCAAAGGAGTGAGAAGTGCATTGCCAACGTTTTGTGGAGATTGGGGTTGATGTTAGTTTTAGGCTTTGAGATGGGTTTGGGTCTGCGATCACCACACACTGCTTAAGTCAACCCAAACTTTTACTTGGTATTCTGCGATGCGCCATTTTGATTGATCAAAATTTGATCAGTCTTATTTTTTTTAAAGCACAAGTGATGTCTATTATACGGGCCCCACACTTTTTTTGGCGATCAAGACATCGGTTACATTACTGCAAAATCAAGTTACAAACAAACAAAAAGTGTTTATTCGCATCGTCAAAAAGTATTTCAAGGTGAAGTTTCGTATTTAATTACGATCATTAAGATACATTTCTCATTTTCCAGATGGGTGCGCGAATTCCTAAACGAACAGAACCAGGGTCTGGACGTGCTGATCGACTACCTCAGCTTCAGGCTCAGCATGATGCGGCATGAGCAGAGGATCGCACTCGCGAGGAGTCAGTCCAGCGATGGGATCAACCAAGGTACGGTGGTCATTATGATCATAATAAGGATTATGCAGTTAAGGGTATAAAGGCAGCTGGGGTATGGGCTTAGCGCCGTAATGTATACCAATCAATATGTAGGTAGTACATAATTTTGAAAACTGTAAAATGGGTAAACCTGACACATCGTGCTTTCGACTGAAGTAAACCCTTTCATATAAAATTAACAATTCTAAATCACCATCCGCAGTAAACACAACGACATCAGAATGCAGTGGACCAACAGAAACTGGTTCTACAATGTCAGCCTCATGGCGACGGAGGGCGCGCAGTGCAGAAGCTGAGTGTGAGGGTGCAGCCAGCCCGGCCGTTGCTAGGCGTCGGACGAGGCACGCCGCGAGACTCAACATGGGCGCCTCCACCGACGATATACACGTCTGCATCATGTGCATGCGAGCTATCATGAATAATAAGGTACGGAGAATATATATTTTTTTAACTGTTTTATGCTATAGGGCAGCAAGCGAGCAGACGGATAACCTGATGGTAAGCAATCAGCGCCGCCCATGGCTCCGCAACGGAGGAGTTAGGAGTGCGGTGCTGACTTTTTAGGGATCAGGGTTTTGGAGATTTAGGTATTGGGACGGATCGGGGGAGGGGAAGGTTTGCGCCTCCGGTAACCTTACTTACACGGCGAAACATAACGCTGTGGTTGTTTCACGCCGGTTTTCTGCGAGGCCGTGGTATCACTCCGATCGAGCCGACCCGTTCGTGCCGAAGCTTGGCTCTCCCACACTTAACTTACTTTTTATTATAAACAGTTTTTGTCCTATAATCACAGTGCAAAACTTAAATTTATTTTTTTTCAATTTATTTTACAGTATGGCTTCAACATGGTGATCCAGCATCGTGAAGCGATCAACAGTATAGCTCTCTCCCTAGTCCACCACTCGTTGCGAACCAAAGCTCTAGTGCTGGAACTCCTGGCTGCCATTTGCCTAGTGAAGGGTGGCCATCAGATCATACTGTCAGCTTTCGACAACTTCAAGGAGGTGGTCGGCGAGCCCAGGCGGTTTCACACGCTCATGGAGTATTTTATGAATTATGATAATTTTCATATCGAGTTTATGGTGAGTTTTAACGTCCAGAATAAGTATCTTTAAAGTAATCTAATCTTATTATGTTTACATGTATAATAGTCATTATGAATTTTCAAAAAATTAAAAACTCCGATATATGCGATCCTGTACCATCATTTCATGATGAGCTTAAAGCAAGAATAGATTTCATTATCTCCATATAAACTACTGAAATCTAGCCATATCCGTCGACAAAAAAATATCAGTGGAAATAAGAGTCATTGAGCAAGTCAAAATAATTTTGCGCAAACTAAAAAATTCTTGCGCAAAGATGCGCAACTAACCTAGTACATTTTTTTAATATTATATATTTTTCTCTAGGTGGCGTGCATGCAATTTGTGAACATAATAGTCCATTCTGTGGAAGATATGAACTTCAGAGTGCACTTGCAATACGAGTTCACTGCGCTTAAGCTGGACGACTATCTCGAGCGGCTACGATTGTGTGAGAGCGATGACTTACAGGTAATACAGGATCCCTTAGTAATTATGAAAAACTTTTACAAAATATTTTACTTAGAGTTGAACCATAGTACACCACCACATTATATATACTACCGCAATTTGTATATTTCACTAGCAGCCCGCCCCAGCTTCGCTCGGGTATCCAAGTATTTTCCCAGTTGCTATTACCCAATTTAACCTTCTTCTGACAATAACAAACACAACAAAAAAGATTAGCAAAATTGGTCCAGACATTGTTGAGTTATGCGTGTAGCAATACATTTTGCGACTCATTTTTGTATATAATTTTTCAACTTTATCGCTGTGTATTAGAGTCGAAAATATGACGCCATTTGAAAAGTTGCCTAGTCCTCACATTGTGTGTGTGTGTGTGTCATTAATTTATTTAATTGTCCATTATCATTAATAATATACGTATAATCGTCAGGTGCAAATCTCAGCGTACTTGGACAACGTGTTCGACGTGGCCGCGTTAATGGAGGACAGTGAGACCAAGACTGCTGCACTCGAGAAAGTCAACGAACTCGAAGATGAATTGGGACATGTAAATATACTGACAACATGCATCTTAAAAACTAGCTTACCCTCTCGGCTTTGCACGCGTTTTAAAGTAATTAATTCCGGAATTTTAAAAACAGCTAAGTACAAAGCGAAAGCTCGGCTACAATACGCAAATCAAGTATAATTTATAGCACTTAGGAACATTGTAGCTATCTATCAGTGAAAAAATTCTGGAAATCCGACCAGCGGTTCCAAAGATTACCCCCAACATACGACTTTACAAATTTTACTTCTTTATTATATTAGTATAGATGGGATTCTTGACTTCTGGGTGTGATGTATATGTGAAATCGTATGTTTGTAAACACACCCACGACACAGGAGAAAACCCTAGTGTAGGGCAACTTTAAAAAAAACTATTATGAAGTTTCAAAACTGTCTGTTTATGATTTAGTTGGAATAAATGACTTTGACTTTTACGGTTATTTCATAATATCTCGTCCTTAAAGCAACTTTAACATTTGATTAAACAATTTTAGGCACACGAAAGAATGGCGGCACTAGAGAGAGAAGCTATAGCGAAGCTAGCGACGTTGGAATCGGAGCTGGCGGCTGTCAGAGCCGAGAGAGACCAGCTCGCTGAGGCTAGAAGACAGGTCGTTGAGGAGGTAAATACTATCCTTAGACATTTTAGATATCTTATCTTTAGATATTTATTCTGACCATAATTTTTGTTCGACGTATTTCATAAACCAACCCTAGGAAAACCTGTTAGAGAAAAACCTGCTCAAACCTTCTCCGTGTGACAAGAGGCCTTTACTCAGTAGTACCTAGGTTGATGATTTGATTGTGAAACGATATGTACTCGTATGTTAATATATTGTGAACATGTTGCATTTAGAAAATCTTTTACTCCATTTCATTCCCAGGAACTATAGGACGTTGAATGTCAAATTTAAAAATATTGATAGCAAAGTTATGTTTTGTCGATATGTTATATAAAAAACTCGTGCTATTTTACTCCAGGTATCGACGCTACGTCGCGCGCAGCAGGACTCGCGCAACCGGCAGTCGATGTTAGAGTCCAAGGTTCAGGAACTCGAGTCACTCACCAAGTCCCTGCCCCGAGGAGCTTCTAGTATGTACAACTATATAATAATGCCATGAAATTTATTATTTTATTTTGACGAAGTTGCCACATTTCATTTGTAATTTAATATAGAATCGAACTTTATTTTGTAAGCAGTAAAGGCGAATTTTCAATAGTCAACAGAATAGACACATTGTTGGTTGAAAAAAAGCTGGATTTTTTCAAATAAATCTTATTACTTACAGTGGGTGCTATATCCTCACACGCGATGTGCAACGGTACTACAAACGGTCACAGTGCGTCCCCCCCTCCCATTCCAAACGGAGACACGCCCACAACCAAATGTCCCCCGCCGCCTCCCCCTCCGGCGCCGGCCCCGCCCGCACCTCCCGCGCCACCCCCAGCAGCACCGTGCCCCCCTCCACCTCCTCCCCCTCCGCTATCCTCTTCTGCGCCCCCTCCCCCCGCACCTCCCGCACCCGGGTTAATGGCACCCCCGATGCACACGGACGCCATGACCATCAAACGGAAGGTGGATACGAAGTATAAGCTGCCCACGCTCAACTGGATCGCGCTCAAGCCTAACCAAGTGAGTGATGTTGGATTTTAATTGTTATAACCTTCTGTGTCTAACGGTCAATGAATTTTGATATAAATTAAATTGATATTTGACGTGCTTTAAAACATAGCATGTGTCGCGCCAATAATGAATTTATAAATAAACTAGCTACTCTTACGGTGTTTCACCCGCTGCTCGGCTCCATTTGACCGTAGCGTGAAGTTTTATAGCCTATAGCACTCAGGAACATTGTAGCTATCTGCCAGCGGTTTCAAAGCTTACCCTCTACATACAAACTTACAAATTTTACATCTTTATAATATTGGTATAGATAAATAACTAAACCTTATCTTTGTGAACAGGTACGTGGTACAATATTCAACGAATTGGATGAGGAACGACCTCGGCGGCGGATCAACTTCGCGGAGTTCGAAGAGAAGTTCCGGCTCGGGGGCGCCGTGGGGGCCGCGCCCGACCCCGACAGTGACACCCTCGCCTCCTTCCCCAGCAAGAGGTTCCGGAAACCAGATACTGTGTCCTTGTTAGAACATACCAGGCTTAGGAATATAGGTATTATTATAATAATAATCTTATGAGGTCCTATCACATTTGTCCAAGTTGGCTTCGGCCCTTCGTATGCCTTCCAAATACCAAACTTGTGATCCCGTAAAAGGAAAAGAATTTTAATTATTAGTTCAGTTGGTGATATTTTTGCTAAATATAAAAATATTTATTTTTAATACAGATAGCTACATTTACATTGAATAAGTGATTTGAGATGATATTTTAAGTTGGTAATATTTGTTGTAAGATTCGTTTGGCGATGTGCTTGCTTGCGCCCATTGACATCAAGATTCGCCTATTGAGCTTTATACTGCCTTATTGTTTTTCGAAAACGTATAATGACTTGAATATTGCTGACTACTCCTTAATCTTTTGGATAGTGTGAAGAAACTTATTCTATAATAAACCATCGGTTCTCCATTACAGCAATATCAAGAAGAAAGCTCGACACACCCGTAGAAAAAGTAATCGCAGCCATCAACAGTTTAGACCTAAAACAATTACCACTAGAAAGTGTAGAGATCCTTCAACGCATGGTACCGACGGAGGCAGAGCAAAAAGCCTACAAAGAATACGTCGCTGAGAAAAAACCAATAAACCAACTAACGGAAGAAGACAAATTCCTAATGCAACTCGCCAAAGTAGAACGCATATCAGCGAAGCTCTCTATCATGAGTTACATGGGCAATTTCTTCGACAACATACATTTGATCACGCCGCAAATACATGCCATTATTTCTGGGTCGTCATCAGTGAAATCTTCAACGAAACTACGCAATGTACTTGAAATTATACTTGCGTTCGGTAATTATTTGAATAGTAGTAAGCGGGGGCCGGCGTACGGTTTCAAACTGCAGTCTTTGGACACGTTAATGGATACGAAGTCTACTGATAAGAGGGTGTCTCTACTGCACTATATCGTGGCTACGATCAGACAGAACTTCCCCGAGTTGATGAACTTCGATACAGAGCTGTTGTACATCGATAAGGCGGCTCAAGGTGAGATTTTTGACTTTGTTTTTATTGTACATATACGATTTTAGTGATCCGTCCCGATCTCGCACGGTTGCATATCTGATACTTAATTTCTCCACTATTTAACGAATGATATTATCCATATAAAACTTTCTCTTCAATCACTCTTTCTATTAAAAAGCAAACCAGCACAAAATCGATTGTGTAGTTTTGAATATTTAAGCATACAGGGATAAAGGGACAGAGCAAGCTATTTTGTTTTATAGTATTTAGTGATTATAGTGACTGGTTGTCAAGTTAATTAATATTACATTTAATATTTTTGCCTTGATTGACGTTAATATTAGATTTCGACCACCCCGTTAAGGGCTTGGGGTTCGATACCCGGAGGGGAATAAGAAAATCGGGTTAGGATTTTTAAAGTTTTTGGGAAAATTCTCATCTTGAAGTCTGATATTGTGCTTGCCGAACTCGATTTTTTTCTATCTGGAATTATATATTAGTCGTCAAATATTGTTATTTGACAAATATGTAGTCAAATACGTTTCTTTCTTTTAGTAATTTTGTATGAAAAGCGCGTAGTGGCGTCATCATATATCATCATCAGTTCTTGAAAATCAGCTAGGGAAAGTAGGAAATAAATTTATATCGTTAAATGACTGAAATGAAATGAAAAGTCTATTATTGATGTTTAAATTTGTTATTACTTTTAAAATTGTAAATATTAGATGAGTAATTGATGTGTCCCAGTATCGCTGGAGAACGTGGCGGGCGACGTGTGCGAGCTGGAGCGCGGCATGGAGGCGGTGCGGCGCGAGGCGGAGGCCCGCGACTGCCTGCGCGCCGCGCCACACCTGCTGCGCGACTTCCTCAACAACGCCAGCGACAAGCTGCGCCGACTGCGCGCCGAGACCAAGCACGCACAGGTACACACGCACACCATTTCTGAAACTAAGCCCGTTGATCACCGACAATGAATATCTAGATTTATGTTTTGCTCCCCTCCCCCTCCCCCCCAAAAAAACCCACGGTCGTAACGTAGTATGGCTTCTCGTGCCAAACCAAACATGCGCAGGTACTGTTCCAACTTTACTACAATACGCGGACTATTTTTGATCTTTAACCCATTGATCAGCGACATTAAACCTCTTAAGTTTTTTAGGGGAAGGGGTCATCACACTTGCACCAACTTAACTAAGACTTGCAGACTATTTCCGACCATTATCCCATTGATTGGCGAAGACGAAAAGACGAATCTCTTAAGACTTTTTATTCAGGAAAGAGGTCACCGAACGGCTTCTAGCACCCATAGTAGTGCGAAGAAAAATCTTTCTAACTGAAAACTTTTCATTCATTACAAAATTTAACCATTTTTTTAATTATTGCTTTTATCAAGTTGGTACTTACCAAATAAACCTAGCGTTGACCACAAATAAACTACACCACTACCTGATTGTAATATGATTGAAAGACTTGGATCTTGGATACTTGACTTTAATTATACAGTACACAGTCCTGCAGCTCACTGCACCAGAGCTACATTGTCAATGGCCGACAGTGCGACACTGATTAGTATTACTAATCATAGACAATACAACACTGATAACTATCCTATTTCTTCGTGACAACGTTTACGACCACGTGTCGTACCAACAATCTGTTAAAAAGCTCATTGTTTACAGTAGTTTAAAATGTATGTTACCGCAGGATTCGTTCGCGTCGTGCGTGGAGTACTTCGGTGAGGCGCCCCGAGGTTGCGACGCCAATGCTTTCTTCTCGCTGCTCGTCCGGTTCACGAGAGCGTTCAAGGTAAGAAAATAAATTACTTAAAACCATTATGTTACATACGTCGTGTTGTACGTCGATCCCAGCTCAGAGCGGAGACTTGTTTGTGACTTTTGTTGCACAAAGTGTCACAAACAAGCAGACGGATTAGCTGATGGTAAGCAATCAACGCCGCCCATAAACACCCGCAGTACCAAAAGAATTACTAGTGCGTTACCGGCCTATTAAGGATATGGGTTTCGGATATTTAAGGATTGGGAAGGGACGGGAGGGATTAGCCCTTTTTTTGCGGCACTGGGAGTGCCCGTCGGGGGACGGGAGAGGGTTATGTGGGACTCCCCGGTAAAGTCGTTCCCGGTATACCCACTAAAAACCTTACCTAAAAAAACTCTTGAGAATGCCGGCGTATAAACGCCGACATTGATCGCCAGGTCTCCCGAGGTTGGGATTAGCCCCCCAGTAACCTCACTCACACGACGAAACATAACGCCGTGATTGTTTCACGCCGGTTTTCTGTGAGGCCGTGGTATTGCTCTGGTCGAACCGACCCATTCATTAATTCATTTAAGTTAGAAAAAGTGTATAGATTTTTTCTGTTTATGATAAATCTATACTTACATAATATAATTTTATGAAACTAAAATGTGTGTTGGTTCGAGCACCGTTAATCTCTTAATTTTTATTATAATGGATTTGTTTATTTATGTTTAGATATGTTTTATAGTGTAGGTTATTAAGTGTCACTAGTTCTTAAATGTATATCGGGATCTTAACAATTGACCGATGTTCAGGATCCAACTCATTTGCTACAAGTTTATTATAGTAATGCCTATCGCTACTGTAACATTTAAATTATTAAAATTCACTTTTAATCTCCTATTCTGAATTTTAAAGCCTAATGTCATATTGTTATTGTTAAAATCTATCTACGACAATCCCCTCGTGACCTTCCAGCAAGCAGACGCAGAGAACGAGCAGCGCCGCCGGCTGGAGCAAGCCGCGCAACAAGCTGACCACGTCGACCCCAACAAGGCCAAGCTCGCGCAGAAAAAACAACAGGTATACCACTATCGCCCATAAGAACATACCTGTACAGATCATATTACCGTGGACGACAAACGTTGGGAGTTAAGCTTTGTTTAAAATTAACTTTTCATCTAAAGACGGTTACCTTAATTTGCACTGCCCAGATGGCGCCACCGGCGATTTAAGTCTAGTTTGCCATTATTGAATTAATGTTACTGGAATTTCTTGGTCGTTCTAAGATTAGAACTCTTTAAAATGAGATTGATATTTTGCAAAATGGTTCAAACAATTTTACAAGAATTTAAATAGTATTGTTTCTTGTGCTAGATCTTTTTGTTGATAATATATAGATAATAATGGAATTTCCTTATACATAACACTTAATTAGCTTTCACATAAATATATAAAATATTCTAAACACAGCTTAACTCTAAATAAATCGATGTTGCATAAACTGTTAGATTTGCTTCGATGGCTCTACATAACGCTTCCAAGGTGAATGGACAGTAATTTGATGTAGAGTTTTGAGTGCACACTTTGATCACACTAATTACAACTTTAAGGTAGTCTTGTCCAATCAGTCAAGTTATATGGTATACAGATAAGATAATAAAGATCAATTTCGTATAATACCAATAATAAGTTTTATACTAATAAATTGTGTGTTCCAATGACAACTTTATTATTAAGGGTGTTTTTTACTCGTTCATTTAAAAACCCCTAAATAGATTTCGATGAAAATTGGCACAGTATAGTTTGGATTCGCACATAGGCTATCTTCCAGCGAGTAACGCTACGAAGACGCTAACATCTAGTCTTTTATCACTACTGGTTAGCTGAGTTACCAATGACTGCTTACCGAATCAATCCTAAGTTTTTTACCTACATACCAATAAACTTGGCTGGTTGCTGACTTACAGATACCTGACCAAATAAAGAATTGATATCACTAGAAAAGGGACCGATTACTATACTTTCAGATGTACATTGAATGAAAAACTGGATTTAGTAATTTTCATTATACCATTTAAACTGGGTAGTTAGAGTTCTCTTTACGTTAAGACGATCAACACGTTTTTGACGTTCGACGTTTTGATTGGCTTGCTTAACCCATGAAGTTATGCACACAGGGCCGTGCGCAAGAGTTTTGCACCCGACGTTCCATATGCTCCGACGTCGGAACATATGCGATATGGCTGACTTCACGTCGATCAAATCTATTACTACTGTGATTGTTTGATTTAAGAATACTCTCTATAGACAAAAATACGCGATTATTACAACCTCTGTTCTCAGCTTTGTTTTAATTAATCTATACTAATATTATAAAGGAATAATATTTGGAACCGCTGGTCGGATTGCCAAAATTATTTCATTGATAGATAGCTGCAATGTTCCCGAGTGCTATAGGCTATAAAACATCACGCTACTATCAAATGAGAAACCGCACGAGAGTAGCTAGTGTTATATGTAAAAATGATTCGGTAAAACTCGAGAAATCTGGACCGACAAGGCTTATTGTGGTCTTTTACCTTGCCTGGATATACAGGGAAGGTTTAAAAGGACCAAATATGGGATATACAAATTATTGTTATGTTTTATAACCAGAGTCGTTATAAACAAAAAAAAAATACAATAATTTTTCGATCACTACCGGGTTTTGTGAATTAAATTTAACAACCAATCAAAGGGCCAAACACTGTTAAGTTACGGTTGTGTTAACGTAAAGAAAACTGACATTTGACATGATGATTTCGCATTGGGTTTACACACAAAATTTTTCTTCATTTGTCTTCATACTTGTTACATTTATGGATCAAAGTGTGCAACTTGTTGATGCATTCTGACTACTGTAGCCAGTGACTCGACTTTCTAAATAATGTACTCATATTTTCCACTAATTTTGTTTTTTTTTACATCTAATTTTTAATCACCTTTATTTTTCATTACAATTATTTAGTCGAATCTTTTTATTAAGTCGAATTATTTATTTTTGTATGATTTTATAACTGTTTAAAGGTGATTAAGAAGTCAGGTTTGATTTTGATTTCACTTGCAGTCGATACATAAAGATGTTTGAGTGATGTGCATTAATATTGTTATTGGAGGTGACAGGTAGACAACATTACATGAAACACATGATGTAACATGCTATTTAGTGGTGGCGGTGTATTACAACAAACGGTGGATATGGCAACACTGAAATATAAACAAAAAACCACAAACAATGAAAGCTACCAAATTAATGACATTAAAAATAGTGTTGCCACATCAACCAATACAAAAACTACCAAATACAGTAGTAGGTGATGGTAACACCATAAACTTTCTCACAGAGGTTTAACTACGCGGCCGTCAGCGCAGGCCTATTGCAGCAACACTTGTCACAGTTGAGGCACAGTCTAGAGCCCGTGTAGGCCTCCCCGGCCTCAGGCCAAGGCCTAACTTATAGGAGTAAGTTCAGTTGACACTGACGGGGAACCACTTGAGTGTGCGTGTGTACTAACCCCTTTTGGGTGGGACTTTCGGATGATGTGTAATGGATGTGGTCTGGTTTATACAGGGGCTCCACTTTAACCAACTATAAATTAAAAGTTTGTATCCTAAAGAGCAAAGATAAAGTGTAATGTACTTTAATTACATTCTGTATTAATAAAATATAATAAATAAATAAAACTGCATCAATAGTACACAAAATGGATACTTCTCATTGAAAACTTTCCAGGCAAGATTGGACATACGCAGATTATCTTTATACGTTTTTTTGACATTAACTAAATGTAAAAGTAAAAAAAAAAGTTCAATTTTATTATACAAATGTTTTATAATTGTGTAATAATGTTATGAAAAATTTCAAACGGAATATTTTTGTTCCTTTATTAAATATTCATCTTAAAAAAATCTTTTGTAACCAAAAGAGACCCGAAACTGAACCCAAACCGACTATACCTTTTACACATCAATATTGAGGCCTCGGAGTGACTAATTGACCTTGAGAAAGAGACAGCATGTTTTTGGGGACTCAAAGTCTGGACTGGTTGATAACCCACTCGCCTAGCATGCACACGACCATAGTAACCCGCACAACGGTTGGGGAAACACAGTCTTCTGTTTGAGGATATAGGAGGTCTTAGAAATTGTGGTGTTTTTAGAATACCTACTCTTGTTCGAAATGGTTGTTTTTTGGATCAAAATGAAAGTTAACTATCGCGTTACATGTTCACAACATTACGCGGGTATTAACGCGAAAAGTAATTATTTAAATACCTTGGAAGTAATAATAATTATATGTTTGAAAGACTTGTTGTAAATATGAATTTTGAAAGTTGCATGAGATGTTTAGTTTTTCTCATGTCAACATTTTCAGCGTGTGTTTATGTATAAAGTTTAATGAAATTCTTAATGACAAAGACTTTGTTTATTAACAACGTGTTTACTGTCGAATGAAAATTATCATTAAACACAATATAAAAGTTGATTCTACACCCTTTTTAGGGGGTCAAGTAGAACTGTCACTTTTACTGACTAAAAACCTACCCCGTTTCGTCTCTTGCTTAAGTATATTTTTGCGCTTGCAACCGCAAACCCCAACTGGATTGTGCAATACCTAACTTAAGAAATTTCACTTTCATTTGATCCGCAAACGATCCAAAGAACAAGAGTAGATTAGAAATTTCGTTATATGTAAGGTGTTGGTTTTTAAAACGTGATTTGTCGAAGGGTAGCAAGGTAATAACATTTTGCACAACACACAGTAACTACATATACAAGTATATTTCTAATGCATGTATCCTTTTCGAACACACCCCTAATAAATATATCGAAGTATAGTTAGAGGCAAAGTTTTGTGGTTGCTCTGAATCTTCGAACCATGACGTGCCTTTATACTGATATATAACTTAAGATCGTAAGGGTTTAAAGGACCTCCAAATGGACAACTCGGACATAAATAAATTGTATTCCCTAAAAATTATTTTAAAGTATATAATAAAAAAACGATACTCTCATTGATTGAGTAGTTTTAGTATTTTACTATTGAAGTGAATTAATCATACAATGCTTTTCTTGCCATGCAAAAAAGTAATTTTCTTTGACGTCTTGTAAAAAGTAATGAATTTGACTAGTATTATTCTCATTAGATTACGGATTACGGTTGAAATAGTAGCTGAACAACAGGCTACTGCGCAACCTGTGTAACGATTTTTATTATCAGAACAGCTGTTTGTGTTTTCAAATTGTTGTTATTATATTCGGGTATTGTGGGTACGCGAATGTTTATGTTGGTTAACAAATGTTAAAAAAACACCGGAGAAAATAAAATATTATAATGGGAGTGACGTTTTCATTACAAAAGGTTTTATTTTATTTAAGATAAGAAAGATGATATTTTTTTTTAATCTTTATTTTATTAAAAGGGCTTTTTTCCATACAGAAGATTTCAGCCCAAAGAGGATATTTGTTAAAAAATTGGTGACATATTGGAGCGTCCATTAATTTTGGCTGTAACTGTACCAATAGGTTTAACACATTCAGTGCCCCCGACGCGTATGTGCGTTTCCTCGCACGCACATACGCGTCGGGGGCACTGAATGTGTTAATGCCTAGGTTTGATTTGAAGCATGGTATGGACGTGATTATTAATATAGCCCCATTCTAGTTCCTAGGTTGTCCTACCTAGTCAATTAAACTATTTCGAGAAGTTAGGACTCTCAGTATTCACCTCTCACTCGTAATTAGTATGTGCAAGTGAGATAAATATAGATTAAAATATGCTGATATTACTAATTTTGTCTTAATTTTTGATTTTAGTTCTCCATCTTTGAGTTGTCGTTACATTACATTTTCGCCAGACAAAAGTACAGCTGGGTGATTCTTCACATCAATTAAAAAAAATTTAATAATGTCATTATCCTCAACCGAAAATTAACGAGTCTGCTGATTAAAACACAGATAATTATTTTATTAAATTAAATCTCACCACTGCTTACAAGCAACCGATTAAAAATATTGTATAAAATAAATTACTAAGATGCTTAAAAACCTGGGAGGATAATGACTTGTTAAATAAAAGTTAAGGTTTTTTGGAGAATCACCCACCTACGTCTGATAAATTCTTTTATTGGTAAAACATATCCTTTCGTCTGGCAACATTTTGTTCTGTCAAAATGTTGGAAATAATACAACTGTGTGGTAACCCACAAAAATTATTTGTTTGTTAACGATATATATTATGATATGAAGTGTAAATATATATTTTGTCTTAACGCTGCACTTGCAACTTGCATGGATCTAACAGGGAATGTGTTTACTTACTAAGCTAATTTATAATTATTTATATTTATGTAGTATTGTGACTCTTGCATTATAATAGCTAGATATTATAAATTTTAATGCTACAAAGTTTTGATATTATTATTGGCTCCTTGTCAGAAAATTCCGCATTTCTTTTTATAAATTCGATTATTATTTTTGTTTCATATTATTGTGAAATTGTAATGTGCCTCTGAATTTAAGTCTTAATTCGAGTGCTATACGGCCTTTTTTCCTTTAGCTATTATGCGTAGAATAGGTTTTTACTTCAAGTATAGTTAGCTCCCAGCATGCCTACCAATAGCAGTTAAATTATCTATTATTACGGAATTAAACATTTATTTTATAAGAATAATAATTTATGTTAACGTCAACAGGAGGCTGTAATCAACGAATTAAAAACGAAATCTCAGGCCGTCGGCGAAAAGAAACTGCTTCACCAAGACGAGGTATACAACGGGGCGCTGGAGGACATCTTGCATGGTTTAAGGAGCGAGCCCTACCGCCGCGCTGACGCCGTGCGACGCTCACATCGCCGTCGCATCAACTCCCACCGACTCTCGAAGGGACTTGAGGAACTGGATGTATGATACGAACTTGACTCCAGTGACACACTGGAATCCCCCGTACAGAACGCAGTTAACTCTATCAACGCTAGGTGCAACACAGACAAAAAGAAACGCCGCAAGGACCTCGAGATGGTCCACAAAAAGCAATCGATAGCTATCTATAATATAGAGGACAATGTGACTGAGTTCCCCCCCAGTGAACCCAGGAAGAAGTCCACGTACCGCGTCGCCCCCGCGCCCATGGACTGCGAGGTCGAGGAACGCTGCGAGCTCATCAAGTCTACTTACGAAGTCATTTCGAAGTACACGAGAGCTATGTTTGATAAACAAAACGAAACCGTCGTATGAACGATGTGCCTATTTTATATTTCGCGTGTATTGCACTCATTTACTTAGTCTTAAATATATATTCAACGTTATTGGCTTGTAGTTAAATTGGCCTAAAAGGTACGGAGTTATAAACGTCCAATTACAGACAATTCGATTATCGAAACCGTTAAGTGTTGCCATTTAAAATTAATTACCCTGAAAGCCGGGTGCAATATATGTAAGAGTATACTAACTTTGATACGCCTACGATTCATTCCATTCCACACGCGACAGCGATAACCAGTATTTTGCTACGATACCGTTTACACGTGTGTTTATAATTTTCTATACGAAAGCTTAGCTTTTAGTATTTTTATATGTGCCCATAGCTAATTCGGAAACTCAATAAAATACTTTTTAATAGAACTGAGTCACGAATCTCAAGCACAAAATTAAAAAGAATAGGACCAAATTTGAATATAGAATTTCATAGAGAAATCTCGTAAAGCTATGGGCAGTTAGTCCCGCTAGATCAAAAATGGCCTTTAAAATTAGACGCACAGGTTTTGTACCGCGATTTTTTCGAATTTTAACATAGAAAATAGGTATAAATGTAACAGTGTCTTTATATATGTACACATATACACGAATATGAACCAATAAACGATGTTTAGTAATATATAACTACTAATATATAGTATATAACTTACGCATTTATGAAAATAGCATTTTTACCTACTTGTGATAGTTCAAATTTCTTTTATAAACGATTTAAGTAATATTAATTGGCTCCCTTGTTTGCATTTAAAAATACCGTAATTATTTTCATGCCGATAGTTTAACAGTCTCGAATTAAGAACTTTATTTCCTTCAGGTAAAGTTCAAATCGCTATCAGGCATTATTTAGTTTGTGTGACCAGCCAGTTGATACCGTCTCTGCATGTATTATTTGTATCGCAGTTATAAATAAACAAGGGTGTCTGCATCTGATAATAGTCCTTACATGACACTGTAGTTATAATTATATTATTTATACATTTCTATTCCAACTAGATTAAGTTTTGTATACAAACATTTTCCCCGATTAAATTTATATTTTTATGATCTGGCAATAATCTGATTTGAAATTCGAATAAGTTAATTTAATTATTATTGTAAATATGTGTTCGTTTTTCTCTCTGTGAAAGTTCCAATTTCAGAAAAATGCGCGTTAAAATAGAAAAATGTAAATATTGTATTTTTTATATATTAATTATTATCTATTCACTCAAGTTACTTGAGCATTTAAGCGGGCAATATAATTTAGAGTACCTATGTATTTAATATTAAGCCTGAAATCGGTACTTTTACATTATAATTATCGAATAAGTTTTAATTAATTTAATTGATCCAGTGGATGATGATTTAATATATTGTATGTATGATGCTTCAGCACTTACCTGGGCGCGTAACAATTATAATTGAAAAAATAAAATTAATAAATATTAAAATTTATTGAAGAATAAAAATCACAATACTCGTTTACAATTCGATTGAAATAAATAACGAAACTTCATTCGCTCAAGATTTAATTTGATTTATTGTACTAATGGGAAAAATTTAATCGATTTTTTTTATATATTATTTTGTTAATGATATCAATGGGTACGCTCTCGGGTTTCGTCATAAAATAGAGGTGCTTTGTCGCACAATAGCTTGTAATTACGTTTCGCTAAGTCATGACAAATGATGAAAAGGATAATTAGTTCGGGAGTTGTATAAAATATACAGGGTTACGTTATAACAAAATATTTGCACAAATTTTAAATCATTTTATTATATTTATGTGGTCATTTCGTAATTTTGATTCTGAAGAAAATTAATGTGAGTAAAATGTACGATTTAATAAAAAATAATTTGTCGTATAGCAACATTTTTCACGGCACAAAATCTTTGTACGCAATAAGTTGCGAATTGACCGTGATATGTAATAAAATAATTTTATATCGAGTCTTATTATTGCGTTATGTATTATTATTGCCAATACAGTTTCTCAAGTTATACGTTTTCGATATTATTATTATTTCCCGAATACAGATGATTGTACCTTCTCTACCATAAACAACCATACCCACCATTTTACCCCACCATAGACAAAAATTACACAGATTCCTTCAATGTTGCCAAGAAATAAAATCGAGTAATTTTTTTCATGTTAATAAATCGTTTTATAGAGTTACGGATTTAATATTAATTTATTATAGTTGTGCGTTTTGTTTTTCATTATTATTTTATTTCTTGGACATTTTGGTAATCTGAATGTATTTTATTGTATTATTCTTCACGCTACGTACGTATAATAAGCTGTATTTTTAAAAGTATTTCAGATAGTTAAATATAATATTGATAATATGTGCCTATCCAGTTCTATTCCTCATATTAAATAGCAATAAACTGGCTTTAAATATAACATAGTAATAAAATTATTTTAAATTATTTATAAACACGTAAACCATATAAACGTCTTTATGTACCCAATTTGTTCGTTCAAAGTATTTCTTAAATACACATTTAAAAAGCTTTCATTTGTATTCGGGAACTATTTAAGTTTAGTAGAAATTTATAGAACCGTTTTGTGTATAGTTATGTATTCGATTTCTGAGTTTTTGTTAGTATTGCATGTACGCTAGCATAGTAACAGTATTCGGATGCAATAAATAAAACATACATTTAATTAACAGTGATTTTATTTAACTTTGTATATATTTTGTGTCATGTAGCACCTTATATCTAAAGTTATGTTGAGACAGTTTAGTGATACGCAATTTTTGCGCTACGTAGGTGGCGCCACTTGAGAATTAGATCCTTTCAAGTTTAATTAGTAATTGAGTTATACACTTTGGTGATTAGATAAAACTCTATGTGTGTGTTAGTGCCTCTATATATACAATGAGCATTATCAAATCATAGAGTTAATTATAATACATATTCATACTTATAGGAAATATATGTATGTTTATTCAAAACTCAAAAATAAAATTATATAATTACATTATTTTCTCATCTACATATATTTACCAAAATAAGAAAGTAAATAACATTGTTCTATAAAAAAAAGATAAAAAATAAATCTATAACTACTAAAAAAGAAACAATTCTTTGGTCCTAATTAGATAAATTACTAACACATAAAAAACTTTAATTATAAATGAATTTTTAGTGATCGAAAGCAATTACATTTTAATAAAATAGGTAATCTTAAACTTCTAATAAATTTTGGAAAAGTGTAGGTTCTTAGCCTAATTTGTGGATTTCATAACCATTAAGAAAGTGAGATCTGAGTATATCTTTTAAATATCTTTCTTTAAGTACCAAACAAAAATAAAGTACATCATAAAAATGGAATAAAGTTTACTTAGCAACTTACTTGCCTGAGTACAATACTGCCGACGTATCTTGGCGAGTCTGAAGTTAGCTGATTAGCAGCACAGTACTCAATTTTCTTCCTAAAAGATCCATTGCGCAGCCAAACGGCTAACTTCAGACTCGCCAAGATACGTCGGCCGTACTGTCGAAAAGTAATTTGAGTACAAACAAAATGGCCAAATATTATATTTGAAATGCAAAAAATAAACAGATTTTCAATTTTTAAATAACAATGAAGTGTGCAACTCTATTAAATAAACCTTCCATACTCTCATATCAACCTAACAAGTAAAAAGATCCAAGTACTTTTAAATCACCTTAAAAAGAAAAATAGTTAATCAAAATTAACATTGAATTTTTCATCAGCGACACTCTTGATTTTCTCAACAATGGTTTCTACTTCAGCCATTGCCCCAACACCAGTTTCCCCACACATCAAAGTTTTACTGATCGGTGGTATTTCAGTATGGCCCCATTGCTTTAGCAAGTTTATTTGCTGGGCAGTGATGGGATGCTCCCACATCCTCGTGTTCATTGCAGGGCAGAAGATCAATGGTTTGGACATGTCCCACGCTCTGGTTGTGCAGGTGAGTAAGTTATCACAAAGGCCCTGGAAACATAGTGATAGTAGTAGTTATTAGAAATGAGCTTCTAAAAAACTATAGTCTATTTAAATAATTAGTTTAGTTAAATAACTAAATGTTAACAATCTTGGCATGTCTTTATATCTAAATGTTGTCTAAAAATTGTATGTAAAAATGTTTATAATTAAAGTCATTCCATTGTCAAGGTATTTACCTCAATCGGTTTTAGCAGTTTGTTTAGCTAATAAACTGAATTTAAATATTCTATTTATTTTGCACAAACTATTTAATATAAAAAAAAATGCCAAGATTTACTTAACCACCTAAACCTCCAGATAGACCATGGCTGTATTCAGAAAAATCAATAGTCAAATCTAGTTAAGATTTTGTTTACAAGCACACAGTCTGGCTTAAAACAAAGTTTTGTAAAATCAATGTCTTACTTACTTGAGCCATCTTCGCCAGTGTATTAGCATCTAGTGGAGCTATCACCATAATGTCGGCCAGCTTGCCAAGCTCAATGTGTAAAACAGGGTCACCTCTTTGCTTCCAAGCTTGCCACTCCAAACTATCGTCATACACTTTCACGTGAGCAGGCAAATCCGACATTTTAAAGAAATGTTTTGCATGTTCCGTCACTACCAAGTGCACCTACAAATTAAAATTATAATTTAGAAACAATTTTTATACTTTGTAATTTTTCCAATAACATCTATACATTGTAAACATAACCTCGAAGTCATAAGTCATTTGGTCCGGAGGTATTTCTAATAGAGCTTTTATTAGATTCGGTATTTTTAAGGCAGCTACGCTACCTGTAGCTGCCAAAAGTAATTTACAAGATCTTCTTGTATCAGTTGTATCCATTTTAATAAAAATTTAAATAAACAAATACATAAATATTTACAGTACTAGAGTGACACAAGAGTGACATTACGTGACATGACTTGAATTTTATAACTTTTATTCACTTCGTTCAGAAAATAAATAACAATGAACTATTCCTTTTCCTTTTTTAATTTTGTTTAGCGAGTTTGGCTTGGTTCTAACATAAAAACAGATATTTTTTATTATTATAAATATAAAAAGTCTTGTTTATTCAATGTCGGGGCATTGAATTTTTACATGCAGGGTAATCTACTATTTTTATACTGACAACACCAATCAGAAACGTCATCTATTATCAACAAAATAACCACAATAAAATTACGTCAGTCGATTTTAATACGCGTAAGGAGTGGGTGTACAAATTAGCGCGTGAAAACTGTTTTTATATTTACGTTAATGAAAATAATGTTAGTGTGTTACAAACGTTGTTAAAAATTTAGGAGTGTTCGGTGTTTGTTTGTGGTTTGGTTAATTGTAAATATAAATATGTGAGTGATGTGTTGATAAAAATTTGTTTATGATGGATGGCAAAGTGAAGTATTACGAAGGTTGTGGACAGGAAGGGCCGATTCGTTGTATATTTTTGTGTGAATTCCATCCGACCGCTGGGCCGAAGATAACATGCCAAGTGCCAGAAAATTATATATCAAAAGATATTTTTGATACAGTCAGTCATTATATCATACCGAAAGTACAACTTCAGAGATGCACATTGACAGTGTAAGTAACAGAGGGTAGTTGCAAAATATTTATAAGTGATGACAGAAACGTCAATATTTTGCAAACTTTATCGGGAAAACTTTATGAAAGTTTTTTATTTCGCATTTTAATTTCATGTCCAAATGGAAGAAAAACAATACTTATTAGTTTTTAGATAAGCTAGTTACTTATTTTCATATGCAGATTTGGTCTTGGTTTGCCATATTCGAAATTCCATTGGTGGTGTTGGACGAGTGTAAAGAATTGTTTTTCTGCACGATTTTGCACACTTGTTATGCAGTGGTTGACTGTACAACATGTAATAGAATATTGACAATATACAAATATACTTGTTACACGGTTACCTACCTTCATTTTTTTTTAAAACAAATGATATTTCTTTGCTTCTGTAGTTATTATACTGTCGCAGAAAGTATATTTCGTTCGAAAATAGAAGCATACGTAAATAAATCCCTTGGATTGCTTCTTAAACTCGTTGGTTTTTCTGTTTGACCATCTGTTGTCACAAAGTAGGCAATCATAAAAATCATCGTTATTTTGTGGTTCACTTTTGAAAGATTTAAATATCGTAACTTAACATAGCTCAATCCTGTTAATTCTCATCGAGGTAGGTAGTTAAAGCAACATAACATCCACTTCTCGGCAATTTTACATACTATGAGTAGTTACTACTATGGTGTAGGTAGAGGGTCAGTCCGGTCCTATAACAATGTACAGGACACGAATCGAGATTTCTGCTAAAGTTCCTTAGAATATGCAGTCATACTTTGCCCGACCACCGAATTGATCACCGTATTTGTGACTACTCGACCAACTAGGCAATCAGTTATAGACTTATAGTAGCTGATTGTACATAGTTGAAAGACGGTAATCGATTCATGCATCATGGTTACCGTTCCGCTCAGGTTCGCCGCCTTCCGTGTACCTGCACAGCAAAATGATCAAGATATCACACGTTAAAGATTACTGTCTCGGTCCTTGAACTTTAAATACCTGATAAATAAAAGTAAAAGTAATAGCTAGAGGGGTTAATGAACAAACTATTTTCAACTTTCAGTTTGAAAATGTCGATCGTAATGTAAATAATCTCGGGAGTATCTCTTTGCAGTGTACTGCTGTTATTTTTAGATGATTGATGATTATAACATTGTTTACTTCCGCATGTTAAACGTTCTTTCTTCGATATTTGCTTAGCGTAACTCAGATAAATACGAGTTCGTCAATAAAATATGAGTTCAAGTAGTTTTATTTCCAGCCGGGGTTGCGGGGTAAGCGCAATGAGGCACCGCGACCTCGGCCGAGAGCAGGAGAAGGAACAGGGGGATTTTTGGTCAGTAAGAGTCTGACATTCCCTCCCGCCCGACCCTGGGCGGGAGAAGTCATTTGATGATTTTCTCCTCAAAAAAAAGTAGTTTTATTTCGTTATTATGTTTTCTCTGCCCTTTTTTTTACCACGCATCGATACCATGTTACATTTGCCGGATCTGTTACGAAGCGTATGTTACCACTCAATGTCAATTTTTGAAACTTTAATTTGCCTGATCAACAGCCAAAGACCTGATCATCACCATCGCCCACAAGACATCTACTGCTAGATATTGCAGAGACACAATTATACTATGGTAATGTTATATGCCAATCATGTTCTAATACCAATTTTATTTCTCACAGCACCCTACTCGGGTCAAAGATACTGGGCTTCCCAGTGAGGATAGACAACAAGAAATATGCTCGCAACGCTTACTACTTCAACCTTTGCTTCGTTTGCGATGCCTGGGCCAGGACTGTGCATCTCGAACCTCTCGTCAAAAAGCTCACGGAATATCTGGTTAGTAGAAGTTATTACTACAGTTCGCTATCAATCAAAGTAGTCATTTGTTTAGCCGAATTGCATTAACTCTTTTATATACCTATTCGATTTTTGGGTCAAAGTGGAATTAGAGCTTTTTATCTATAGGTAGGTATGGATAACTATGGACCCACGTATCTATGTCTCTGTAATGAAATCCTATTACTTACCGTATAAACTCACGGTACACATCTAAGTAAAAGGTTCTGTTCATTAATATTAATGGTATTGGACAACTATAAGTAAGCGAGCTCTATATGGCTCTATATAATATTAAAGTAGACGTAACGGATTTTTTTCCTTTAAAGAAATGAATAAAATACTCCATTATTCATCTATTTTCTGAAGTCTAACACAATTCGATTTACAATTTCATCGAGGAAAGTAGAAATGGGAACATAATATGAATAAATTGAAAGAAAGAAAATCTAAACAGACTAACGACCAGCTTCAGATTATAAAATTTAGATGTTTATTTTATCAGAAAATGGACGTGTTTAAATGGATACCTGCTTTCTATTTCCAATGTTGTTAAGTTCAGAGTCAAAATATTGAGTTAATCAAATTCGTTTTCTTCTGAAGTTATAAAGTTAATTTGAAAGTTGATTGAAGTTGGCTACAGTATTTGAAGATAAACATTAAGGTTTTCGTTACTCTTCTAGTTATCTATGGAACTGGAGACTGAATGGCTGTCGAAGCAGTCTATTTCTGGCGAAGCTAAAGCACTTGGCGGCCTCATGCGGCAAGTGATGCAGGATATCAACAGTCGGAGAATGTGTACACTTACTGGTGAGTACCTAGTATTAATAAAAACAATGATTATTAAATAGAAAGACATCAGGTCTATTTTGGAACTCGTCTCATTTGCTTATACATCAAAAGAGCATTAGTTTTAACTTTTTATGTCTCAAGGGAAGGTACAGGGTGGGACAGTTATGATTCGGCACGAATGAGCCAACTCGATCGGAGTGATACAACGGATTCACAGAAAACTAGCGTGAAATCACACTTGCGTTGTGTTTCGCCGTGTTAGTGAGGTTACTGGAAGCCCAAACCTTTTCATAATCCCCAAAACGTTTAAAACGCAACTCCTCTGATATTGTAGGTGTCAACGGGCTGTGCTAAACGCTGAACATCAGGCGATATGTCAGCTCGTTTGCCGCCAATACCATAAAAAAATGAAAGAAAAGTCAACGAAGCTATTTTTCCACTTATAACAGTTTGATGTTTATTGGTATTACTGCGCTAATATACAATTTATCCGGTGTATGAACGTCATTCATCCAAATAGGTAACTTGTTTTCCTTCGATATTAGCAAGTAGCACGAACTTTGAAACTACTAATAATTTATTAAGTAAATGTTGATAGATGCCATAAAATTCCGAAAAAAACACTGACAAAACACGTAAAAATAATTACTCTTCGAAAATCAATATCACTATATTGTTATATTATATTTCCTCCAAATTTTAGAAAACTAGACTCGTAGAAACTAGAAAATAGGGTTTTTTGAACAACATTCCAGTTTTACTGTAGGTATCAACCTCATAAAATGGCGTAGTTTTGTAATAAAGTAGATACAGATATATATAGAAACCAGTTTCAAAATAATAACAGTTATAGTTATAGCTATGAATAATATTTGCATATGAATTTCACTTGCAAAGGTTTCCTTAGATACACAATTTTTATTTTATTACAACTATAGCCATTCAAATGTTCTTAAAACCGTAAATATTCAAAAAAATGATTTTTATATATTAAAAAAAATATCATTGGTAGGTATTATAAATATTATGCAAATTATTTAAAAAGCTGTTCAATTATATAAAAGTTGTCAAAATTCTACATAAAAAATAGATTTATTTATTAAAAGCATTCTCGATCATGTTAACTTTTTAAATTACCCCATTTTAGTGCAAGGTTTTATAATTATGGTAACATTGATTTTATTTAAAATTCTTAAGCGGTTTATTTGTGGTTTCTCGTCTGTATTACTAATTGTTTGATTCATAGACTGGCGACAATATGAATGCGTGTGTATTTGCAATTAATTTTCTAGTGTGCGTTTTGTAGGCATTCAGCGTATTTGTGACATAAATCATTATTGTTACTTTGAAATAAAATTAATGTTTAAACAATGGAATACATTACATATTCAAACAAGAAATGATCACGGTCCCTGGTTCTTAGCGCTGTTGCCATGCAAATAGCCAATTTCTATTTTAAAACGCTCCGTGCTATTCAAAATTCGCCTGTTTGCCTATAAAAATAGAAGTTATACGATAGCTCAACGTAAATTGAACGATAAACAATAGTGTCATAAATGTCAGCTGCTACTTACCTCTTCTAATCATGCGTGTAGAGCAAAAATACTAAATTAAATTGTGATTTGGGAAGTTTCCTAGGATAAAAATAAAGTTATTTGACTTTTCAGTAACACTTATAATTTAAATTAACCATATTTTTAAGTTTACATGTTTTCTAGCTTATTTTTCAAAATTAAAAATTTGTTAGGTATTTGTCGCAAAAATACAACGACGTCATATGTCGGGATTTCATACAGAATTCATAGCAAAGTATCCTTTTTGACATTTCATTAAAAGTATACTATTTGACTAATCGGCAACTACCGTAACAAAATTCGCGCCAAAATTCGTATTCAATTGTCAAAAAATAATTTAAGTATGGCAGCTGGTGTCTACAGATTTTGTTTTTAATTTAATATCCTTTTTTTTACTTGGATGCTGAACAAACATGAAGTTTAAGCTTGGTATTTGTTAAAATAAGAAAGCGATTGGTATGTTAAATATAGCTAATATCTAAGTACAAAATTATCTATACGGTATTACAGCAGCAGGGCTCGTTCCTTAATCACATTCATTAACCTTTCCTAGAACTCATTCTGTAGATAACACTATTAATAGACTTATGCTTGCTTCTGCTATGCTTCGTTGATCATACGTGATTATCGAAGCTATATACTCTGTGGTAAAAAGGAATAGTGTTTATCCATAATTTTGTTATGTATTTATATTTGGTCGAATAAATAGTAGGATGATTAAAGGATAAGTAACTAAAATGTGTTTTGTCCCTGTGACAGTAAAGGTAAAAATCCTTTTTTATTTGTAACGAAGACTATTGAATATTTGGGTTAAAGTTAAATGTGACTTTTGTACGCTTTCTTTTGGGCATGCACCAACCCTTTTACTTGATTCGATAGGTACATGTGAAAATAAATTAAGTGTAGGCTCAAAGCCGGCTTTACCGAAGATTTAATCATCGCTGACCTCCATCCCCAATCCTTAATCCCCAAAAGGCCGGCAACTCACTTGCAACTCGTCACAAACACGTCGCCAAATCACACAAATCGTTTATCTACCACCCTATCCCTATCCTCAAAAGTCATTTTTTTATTTTTTTTATGAAAATGAAAGTTGTTTTCTCAGGCTACGTAAAAGTCCCATCGTCATGATTCCTATTAAGCAAATAACTAAATTTCTCCTGGAATTAGTACTCTCGGGAATATCCACCTACAAAGATTATTATTATTATTCTTGATCCATTGTCCCTTGTCTTTCAAATATTAATATTTTAAACGAAATTAAAATTTTCGAATCAAAGCTTCAGGCAAGTACAATGAGGCACCACTGCAGGGGAAGAAACGGGGAGGTTTTTAGTCAGTAAGAGTCTTATACTATCTCTCGTGTCCTCCTTCTGGGCGGGAGAACTAATTTGATGATTTTACCCTCATAAAAAAGCAGGTACTTACATAATGCAATTCCACACTTTTTTTTTTGCAATGATGCAATGCAGTGTTGTTTACACAGCAAGTTTATGTACTTAAATGTGCTAATAATACATAGTAAGTGCCGACGCAAATGTCGAAACACGCCTTCCAAAGATTTGTGATATCTATTAACTGTATTAGCATGTACTGCAAGGACACCAGCAGAGCAACTTAGACTTTATATCACGAAAAGATAAAGACAAATATGTATTGAATGGAATTGGTGTAGGTTGATGTACTTGTGTTAATATAAAATCGCGGATATTAGCGCCTAGCCAAGGAAGTATTGAAGTATTAACATATTTAGCAATTTTTTTAATTTTTAACCTTTATTACTGTGTACTTAAGATGATTTCATGTAGACATGAGAAAGATCAATAAGTTTGTATGTCAAGAATGATCTTGTTACTAACTGAGCGGAATGCATACAAGTAATTAACCTATCTTCTTACGTTTCCTAATTCTAAATTCATTTATTAGCAAAAAAAAAAAACAATTATCAAAGGAAGATTTTAAATGCACACAAACCTAAAATAAGTTGTCAAATAAATCTAAACTTCTCAATGGTTTAATGTTCTCAACAAATGCAATAGGTTCGGAATATTACACCATATAAAAAGTACCACAGCACCATATAATCATAATACATATAGCGATCCTTATCATTCCAAAATAACTAACGATGGTGTATCATATATAGGGGGTATTCATGTTAAGTTAGGAATAGGATTACATCATACAATAATCAAAAAAACATAGGTACTTAAGTGTGGGAGACCCATGCTTCGGTACGAGTGGGTTAGTTCGACCAGAATGATACCACGACCTCAATAAAAACCAGCGTGAAACAGCCTTTGATTCAATCCCATCCTTGCCCTCCCCCAATTACTTGACCTAAATCTTCAAATCCCAAATATCCAAAAGGTCTTCAAAGCACTCGTGTCCATGGGCGGCACTGATTGCTTACCATCAGTTTAAAAAAAGCTGCAGTAAAACAGTTTGCTGTTTTAAGTAGTGTCATAGCATATTACTTTTTACAAAATTACCAAGTGCTTATGTGTGTACAAAATTTTCCTGTAGTTACCCGATGCGTCAATGCAAAAACTACTGAATAAACATTAATCGTTAATCGTTTACTTATGTATATTGGCTTCTGATTACTGATATCAGTTTTAAATGAGTTAGCCATCATTGATCATTTATATGCAAATTCCCCCCGTTTTACTTTTAGAATATTTTTTTTTATATGTATAGACGTGATCTTTGTCTATCTCGCCTGAATATATGTTATCTAACTTCTTTTACAATTATTATAATATTTAATATCTTATCAAAATTCCATGGCACACTTGATAACGAATACTGAAGTTATAATTATACTTATTTATATTTTAATGTTACGTAAGATTAATTTACAACTTTTTTTAGATTTAACAACAGCGTTTGACTGAGTTACTAACCTTATTCGACTTTAGTAACAGATCAATGATGTTACTAAACTCTCTAATTCATCTTAATTGTAATTAAGAAGTCAGTAATTAGGTTCACTGTTTCGTATTTACTACCGACAACAGGGATATCTTTCCGACATAATGGGTGTTCCCTAGGGAGTAACTTGGGTCCGTTGCTGTTTAGAAAAAAACTAGATTAAATGAATTCAATTTCTTTAAACAATTAACTACTGTGTTCATATTCACATTAAAACAATGAAAATGATTGGCAAATGTGCATGTAAATTAAATTCATAGACGCCATCTACATGTGCATAAGGTAACTATAAAAGATACGAGTATGAACCTATTAAAATGCAAGCGTCTTCGCAAGTTACATCATCCTTTCGGGTGGAAATACTTCTGTCTGTTTACCGATGAGTCCATTAAAGTAGTAAGCATTAAATTGTCAAGGTATTTTAAATTTTTAAACAATTTAGTATGTATACTAAAAAAAACGAAACAAGGAAGTACAGTTTTAAATATAAAAACGAGACATCAATCAAAA